CGTGTCGCTCTCGCCTCTCTTTGTTTTCGTTTTCTGTGCGCTTTGATCTCTCCTCGGGTGTGTGCGTCGCCCGTAATTGATTCACACTGTAACTAATTCGCGGCGTAGCCAGACCATCCTACGACTGCCGCATGCTTTAATTGAGTTCGTCTGCGCATTGCGTCAGAATGCCTCTATTGGTCTTCTTCCTTTTTGGAGGCCCTTTGTGTGTATCGACCTTCACTGTTTTCTTGTTTCTCGCCGTACGCAATTATTATTCAAGCGGTGTTTATGTCATTTATGGTTTCTGTGCGCCAGGAGGCGGTTGTGTTTGCACTCGCGCTGTGCTGTGTGACCTTGTGCGTGGCAGCGGTGCCGCAGGAGAAGCCACCGGAGGAATATGGCAGAAGTGCAGCGCCCCACAGCGGTGGTGTGACGTCCAGCAGGCATGCGGTGCCGTCTGCCACGGCGCAGATGAGCCCCGCTGGGAGCGGTGCTGTGAAGGCCGCAGAGGCGTCAGCGAACCCTCAGGAAGCAAAGGCTGCAGCGAGTGAAGCTGTCCAACGCGCACTGACCGCAAAGGAGAGTGCGGAGAGCTTCAAAATAAAAGCTGACGCATGGATGAGGGAAGCGCAGAAAGCTGTGGATGATGCAAAGGCAGCCAATGCAACAGTGGAAATTGCTTATAAAGTACTGGATGACCTGAAGAATGCAATGGACAGTGTTGTGGAGAAGAAAGGCGCCAAAGTGGGAAACAATGGGCTGCAGGTGAAAGCTAAAGCTGCCGAAGAGAAGGCCAATGATGCACTGGAAAAGACTGAAGTGGTATTTCAATCCTGTCAAAAAACAGGAAGGGAAACTTCAACCGCAAGACAAAAAGTGATCTCAGCAGTGGATTTACTGAATTCGGCACTTCAGGAAGTTCAGGGTATGGTAAAAATGTTTCCAGACGCAAAGGCAGACATTGCGGCAGCAGAGAAGATTGCTGCATCGGTTACTCGTAGGGCGACAGAGGCTCAAGACAGTGTTACGGGATTATATCGCAGCGCCAATGAAGCAACGAATGCCGCTCAGAGAGCTTTCAAAAGCGCTTACTCTGCAAAGGAGCATGCCTCCTTTGCAGCGCAGATTGACTTCAACATGCACTATACAAATCTGCGTGCTAAAAAGGATATTCCCAATGCACTGGAGTATGCCACGGATGCAGTAAAAAGCGCAGGCGATGCACTCGCCAAGGCTACACTGGTATTTAATGAAGCCAAGGTGGTATCGGAGAAGGCTGATGAGGTATAC